AATTTTTTGTATTTTAGTAGAGAGGGGTTTCTCCATGTTGGCCAGTATGATCTTGATCTCTTGACCTCGTGATCGCCCGCCTCGGCCTCCCAAAGTGCTGGGTTGACAGACGTGAGCCACCACACCCGGCCACACTTTTTAGATTCTGACCTTTCTTTCTTTAAAGCCACCGTGGACATTGTCATCTCTGAAGACAACACACCTCTTCTGGCTCATCTAGATACTGAATATCACTGTGTGTCAAACATAATATCTAGCACTACTATAGAGATAGCCATGTGTTGATTTTTTATTTCTCTGTTTCTTCCATTGTCTACAGAAAGAGAAATCCACACTTATTTAGAAGATATCATGAGCTCTTACAGAAGAATGTAATAAAATGGAATTAGGGAGACATACCAAATGTTCTTCCTAACATCCCTAAGTGCCCCAAAATACTTTAGCATGGGTCTGCCAGAACTTTCCCTTCAGTAAATCTGTACAATTCTCTCCTCTTCTCATTTTATGTAAAGATGATAACTCTCCCCACATGTGCTTGGTAAAAAGTGTTTTTCAGACACAGTTTGCCTGAAAATACCTTTCCATGGATTTCCCAGAACGTTCATTTAAACTAAATTGACTTATACCTCTCTTTTCGTCTTTTGTGTGAAGATAATAGCCCTACCCATGACTTCTTGGTGAAATGTGTTTTTTCATATCAGGGAAGGTTGACATTCAGGGATGTGGCCATCGAATTCTCTCAGGAGGAGTGGAAATGCCTGGACCCTGCTCAGAGGGCTTTGTACAGGGACGTGATGTTGGAGAACTACAGGAACCTGGTCTCCCTGGGTGAGGATAATGCCCCTCCAGAAGCTGGGATCTGCTTCGCTGTATCTCTGGGTGTTACCTTGTGTGCCTCTTGGGAGCCCCTGCATTGCTCAATTAAGATTGAAGCTATGTTAATTCTCAGATGAAAAGCTTAATAGTGCAGCATCTGGACTTGTTTAATTATCCCGTTTTCAAATGATCTACCCGCTTCAAGATATGTCATTGGTGGTTCCAGAGCTTAAGCAGAAATAAATCCTATGGTAGACTTTAAAAATATCTACTTTGGGCTGGGCGCAGTGGCTCACGCCTGTAATCCCAGCACTTTGGGAGGCCAAGGCGGGTGGATCACCTGAGGTCAGGAGTTTGAGACTAGCCTGGCCAACATGGTGAAACACCATCTCTACTAAAAATACAAAAAATAGCCAGGCATGGTGCCAAGCACCTGTAATCCCAGCTACTTGGGAGGCCAAGGCAGGAGAATCACTTGAACCCGGGAGGCGGAGGTTGCAGTGAACAGAGATTGTGCCACTGCACTCCAGCCTGGGCAACAAGAGCAAAACTCCATCTCAAAAAAAAAAAAAAAAAGAAAAAGTAAAAAAACCCCACTTTGCTGTTTTCTATCCCTTTGCTTGTGATTTAGTACTTCTTAGAGGACAGCTTGATGTCCGTATCTTACCATGTTCCCTAAACATTCAGAAGGAGGCATTCAGTGGGTGAATTTGTGAAACATTTTTCTAGATCCATTTGTAATGTCCTCTCTCCTCCTCTAAATAAAGGGCTGAGATTCTGTAAAAGCCACAGCACATCACATTCCTTTCTTTTTCTAAGCAGGAATCTCTCTTTCTGAAATGAGTATTATCTCCATGTTGGGGCAAGGGAAAGAGCCCTGGACTGTGGAGAATGAAGTGAGAATAACAAAAACATCAAATGGTTGGGAACGCATCAAAGGTGTGAACACAGGTAAGAGCTCAAATGGACAGAGAGGAAGCCGCACCGTTAGTAGTCAGGTAACTCTTTCTGAGTTGAAGAGGTCTATGGGACAAAAAGGGTTTAAATCCTGTGAGCTCTCAATGGGAACTTCCATTTGCCCTCATTTATCCCTGGGCTCTCCTGACGTGTAATAGTTTATCCTTTCACTCTTCCATGGTGCTACAGCTCAAACAGTGACAAAGGCAAAGTCTTTATCATGATGGACAGCACCTTGTCATGTGGCTTCTGTGACCTCTTTGGTTTCTTCACTCTGAGGGGCACAGGGAGGGTTGTGTCAAAGGGGTCTCCTGTGATCTCTCCTGTACCTGATTGCATCTGATGCTCAGTTCTCTGTCTATACAGATCAGAGCTGAGGCCTCCATAGACCTGCCCCCTTGACGTATTCAGGTTTTGCCCCATTTCCTGTACTTGGGAGGCCTAATCAGTTGATGGGAAAACATTGGCAACTCCTCCTTTGCATCTGGGGCTCCGGAAACCTCATGGTGCTGTCTCCAGCCCTCTCTGCCTGTTGAAGTCTTTCAGCCTCAGTCATTTCTTTTGCCACAGATTGCAGTGTGTGCAACAGGGGAGTACACTGGGTTTTCTGGGATTGTTTACTCAGTACTGGAATGGCACTAGACATAGAGGTCTTTTTTTTTTTTTTTTTTTTGAGACAGAGTCTGGCTGTCTTGCCCAGGCTGTGTGTGATGCAGTGGCGAGATCTCAACTCACTGGAACCTCTGCCTCCCAGGTTCAAGTAATTCTCCTGCCTCAGCCTCCAGAGTAGCTGGAACTACAGGCACATGCCACCACACCTGGCTAATTTTTGTAATTTTTTTTATACTTTAAGGTTTGGGATACATGTGCAGAATGTGCAGGTTTGTTACATAGGTATACATGTGCCATGGTGGTTTGCTGCACCCATCAACCCGTCATCTATATTAGGTATTTCTCCTAATGCCATCCCTCCCCTAGCTCCCCAGCCCCCAACAGGTCCTGGTATGTGCTGTTCCCCTCCCTGTGTCCATGTGTTCTCATTGTTCAACTCCCATTTATCAGTGAGAACATGTACTGTTTGATTTTCTGTTGTGTTAGTTTGCTGAGAATGATGGTTTCCAGCTTCATCCATGTCCCTGCAAAGGACATGGATTCATCCTTTTTTATGGCTGCACAGAATTCCATGGTGTATATGTGCCACATTTTCTTTATTCAGTCTATCATTGATGGGCATTTGGGTTGGTTCCAAGTCTTTGCTATTATGAACAGTGCCACAATAGATATATGTGTGCATGTGTCTTTATAGTAGAATGATTCATAATCGTTTCGGTATATACCCAGTAGTGGGATTGCTGGGTCAAGTGGTATTTCTAGTTTTAGATCCTTGAGGAATCACCACAGTCTTCCACAGTGGTTAAACTAATTTACACTCCCACCAACAGTGTAAAAGCATTCCTATTTCTCCACATCCTCTCCAGCATCTATTATTTCCTGACTTTTTAATGGTCACCATTCTAACTGGTGTGAGATGGTATCTCACTGTGGTTTTGATTTTCATTTCTCTAATGACCACTGATGATGAGCTTTTTTTCATATGTTTGTTGATCACATAAATGTCTTCTCTTGAGAAGTGTCTGTTCATATCCTTCGCCCACTTTTTGATGGGGTTGTTTTTTTCTTGTAAATTTGTTTAAGTTCTTTGTAGATTCTAGATATTAGCCCTTTGTCAGATAGATAGATTGCAAAAATTTTCTCCCATTCTGTAGGTTGCCTGTTCACTCTGATGATAGTTTCTTTTGCTGTGCAGAAGTTCTTCAGTTTAATTAGATCCCATTTGTCAATTTTGGCTTTTGTTGCCATTGCTTTTGGTGTTTTAGTTATGAAGTCTTTGCCCATGCCTATGTTATGAATTGTATTGCCTAGTTTTCTTCTAGGGTTTTTATGGTTTCAGGTCCTATGTTTAAGACTTCAATCCATCTTGAGTTAATTTTTGTATAAGGTGTAATGAAGGGATCCAGTTTCAGCTTTCTGCATATGGCTAGCCAGTTTTCCCAACACCATTTATTAAATAGGGAATCCTTTCTCCATTGCTTGTTTTTGTCAGATTTGTCAAAGATCAGATGGATGTAGATGTGTGGCATTATTTCTGAGGCCTCTGTTCTGTTCCATTGGTCTATATCTCTGTTTTGGTACCAGTACCATGCTGTATTGGTTACTGTAGCCTTGTAGTATACTTTGAAGTCAGGTAGTGTAATGGCTCCAGCATTGTTCTTTTTGCTTAGGATTGTCTTGGCTATACGGGGTCTTTTTTGGTTCTGTAGGAAATTTAAAATAGTTTTTTCCAATTCTATGAAGAAAGTCAGTGGTAGCTTGATGGGGATAGCATTGAATCTATAAATTACTTTGGGCAGTATGGCCATTTTCACAACATTGATTCTTCCTATCCATGAGCATGGTATGTTCTTCCATTTGTTTGTGTCCTCTCTTATTTCCTTGAGCAGTGGTTTGTAGTTCTCCTTGAAGAGGTCCTTCATGTCCCTTGTATTGTATTCCTAGGTATTTTATTTTCTTTGTAGCAATTGTGAATGCAAGTTCACTCGTGATTTGGCTCTCTGTTTGTCTGTTATCGGTGTATAGGAATGCTTGTGATTTTTGCATATTGATTTTGTATCCTGAGACTT